TCAATTTAATTCCTTTATAAAGAACGTGCATTACATAATTAAGATTTTTTAAAAATATATTTTTTTGTAGAGACGGGGTCTTAGACCAGCCCAGGCTGGTCTCTAAGTCCTGGCCTCAAGCAATCCTCCTGCCTGGGCCTCCTAAAGTGTTGGAATTACAGACATGAGCCATCACATTCAATATACAGAATAAAGATTTTTAATGGAGGACTTAATATCCTTCAGAAAATTTTCTTGAGGGCAAACGATATCAAATGTCTCCTCAGTTTACACTGAGATTTTGAAAACAAGTCTGAGGTATAGGTCCTTGTGAAGGGTCCATTGGAAATCCTTGTTCAAAGTAAAATGCAAAGCAAAGGTAAACTCAGCAGTTGAAATTCAGAGAAAGACAGAAAAGGAGACAAGATGAAATTCAACAGGACGAAAGAGTGATTAATATCATCATTGAAGAGGAGAGTATCTGTGGCGCTCATCAGTGATGGCAAAATGACTTGGTCAGGCTTATTTTTAACCCACTTGTTTCTGGTTTGCACGGCTGGGGATGCAGCTAGGGTTCTGCTTCAGGGAGCACAGCTGTCCAGGCAGCTGTCAGCCTGCAGGCTTGAAACACTCCTTCGGCAAAGTGCTTCCTACCCCGGAGAGAAATGACCAGAACAGGGAGCTGGAAACAGGCCCCTAACCAGAGAAGGGAAGTAATGGATCAACAAAGTTAACTAGCAGGTTAGGATCATGCAATTCATTTCGCTCTGACTGGTAACATGTGACAGAAACAGTGCAGGCCTATGGCATTTTCATGTAGAGTAGGACCCAAAAACCCACCCGAAGTCCATTATCTGTGCCACATCCTTCTTATCTAGACTTCCAGGACACTTTTTCTTCCTTGTGATAAGGCTCTCTATCTCTCTACATACACACACACACCCCACCAACCAAGGTGCATGTAAAAAGAGGTAGTTTCCTTTGCCTTTCTCATCTATACAGCTCAGGAGGGTAAGTTAAATAGAAAAGGGATTTATTGGTAAGAGATGATGCTTAATGAACCCTGGGCCTCAAAGAGAGAATTGCTTTTCTTTTTCTTCTGTACTTATTAAGCACCTATTATGTGTTGCGCTTATATATACAAAGGGTTATTATATGCTAATATAGTAATAGTAATGGTGGTTGGTACTACGGTAATTACCATAATAATTATTATCCTTTTAAAATAAAGCTAATTATTATTGTATCTTTTTTAGTATTCATTTTATGTTTCTTATGTTTTTTATTTTTTTAAAGACAATCTCACCCTGTTACCCAGGCTGGAGTGCAGTGGTGCAATCATAGCTTCTCTGCAGTCTTGAACTCCTGGGCTCAAGCAATCCTCCTGCCTTGGCCTCCCAAAGTGTTGGGATACAGTCATGAGCCACTGCATCTGGCCTAGTATCCATTTAGATCAAAATATGCATTTTTAATTTTAAAATAATATGGCTAATTTTTACCTTACATAATGTGTATACTGGTAATAAAGCCAGTTTGCTGCCTCAGGTTTAAAGTGCTTTCCAATAAGCTTCATGTATGTGGGGGGAGACATTTAAATTGAAACAGATGGCCGGGTGTGGTGGCTCACCCCTATAATCCCAGCACTTTGGGAGGCTGAGGTGGGTGGATGGCTTGAGCCCAGGCAGCCTGAGCAACATAGCAAAACCCTGTTTCTATAAAAAAACACAAAAATTAGCTGGACATGGTGGCATGTGCGTGTGGTCCCAGCTACTAGGGGGCCGAGGCAGGAGAATCTGGAACCCAGGAGGTCGAGGCTGCACTGAGCAATGCTTGCGCCACTACACTCCAGCCTGGGTGACAGGACTAGACCTTGCCTCAAAAAAATAATAAGAAAAATGAAAAATAAATGGAAATAACTACAAAGAACTGTTGTCCTAGATGACTCCTTAGGTAGGCTGATGTTTTGGTATTTAACTTTTAACGTCAGGGTCTATCACTGGCACTACATTACTAAAATATCAATTCTCAATGTATATCCACACAAAGACTGGTACACGAATGTTCATAGTACCTTTATTCACAAAACCCTGAAGTAGAGACTATCCAAATATCCACCACCAAGTGAACAAATAAACAACATGTGCTATATCCATGCAATAGAATACCACCCTGCAGGACAAAGGAAGAAGGTACTTTGGGATGAATCCCAAAGTCATGACGCTAAATGAAAGAAGTCAGACACAAAGGAGGAGATAATGTATGCTATACGAAATTCTAGAAAATGAAAGTAACTTATAGTTTACAGAAAGCAAATCAGGGCAGGCATAGTGGCTCACACTTATAATCCCAGCACTTTGAGAGTCCAAGTGGGAGGATTGCTAGAACTCAGGAGTTTAAGACCAGCCTGGGCAACACAGTGAAACTCCATTCTCCATAAAAAGAGGAAAAAAAGAAAGCAAATCAGTGGTTGCCCTGTGGGGAGGGGAAGGACTGCAAAGGGGGAGGAA